GCTCTTCCAGGTGGCCCGGAAGTCCTGTCCTGGCTCTGTCGACAGCTCCCCAACAGAAACCAGGACAGCAGCCCACTGTGGCCTGCTCAGACTGGGGACTGGCTCATCTTTCAGCCCGGAGCATAGCCAAGCCATCGAGAACTCTGAGCCCGTCTTCCGAACACGCTCAGCTGAGTGGTCTCGCACCTTCCAAGAGACCCTGGAGCCAGGATGCTTGACAAACCGGGGGAAGAAGCCAGACTCGATCACCTTACGAGTCTGCCCTCAGTACGAAACCGGACTCTCCAAAGAAACCAGCATCAAGGTATCACAGACAGTGATGGGGCAGCTGGAAAGGCCACTCTGAACAGCAGCAACAGAGCCCAGCTTTGGCCATATAAGTATTGCTCATAGAAGGGTAGGGGATGAGCACTCAGTGAGGGAAGACATGTAACCTAAGCACAAGAAGACTGCCTCTGTCCCTACATCCCACTGACACTTGCCCACCAGAGGTCTTTCTCTTGAGCATTTCCTGATGTAACTTCTACCCTTGGTTTCACTCCACTTTAGCTACCCTCGGTGGGATCTGTAATACAGAGGGGCTACTAAGTCCAACCCACTACTGCAAGCACATCCAAGTGATGCGACTCTTACAACAGTGGCAACTTGGCATCCACTGTGGCTGTGCCAGCCCTCCACCCCTACCCACACCATTGCTGCTGTCGGTGGGGCTGTTCCATGGATGGTAGGAAATTTGAGGAGCAAAATCTGGCATAACAAAGGCTTGAGCCTTTTCACCCAAGCCAGATCCCTCGCTGGTAGCTGTAGTCCCTGTGCTGGCTGCTAAAGAAGCCCTGTGTCCAGGGAGGTCACTTATCTGGTCACATTTCTTCCCTCCCTTCTGTTCACTATGGCTTCATGACTCTGGACCTCTCACACAGACTGCTCACTCCTTGCCTGTTTACTATGGATTTGTCTTAAACATGGTGGAAATCCAATCCAGTCTTCTCCTAGGTCACCATTCCTCCCTCAGTCCACAGCCTCTTCCACAACCCATCCCAGGTCAGTGTTGAGAAGGAGGCCCTCTGATTCTAATGTTTCCTATATCCCTGCCTCCCATTCCTCAGCCACAGGCACCAGGAGGCTGTCTCACAGGGTCCTATCTCTGGGAGAAAGGAAGAGCATTATCCCATCACTAACCACAGCTTCTTCCCTGTGTCTGACTCCAGTATCAACCTATCCTTCCTGTCCCGATTTCCCACTTGCCTGCTCAGTCTGTTCAGCTTGACCTTGCCTTTCTCAGCCCTCCCTCCCAAATCTGATGTGGAAAGGAAACTGTATACCACCACTTGCACTGGTACTTTTCTGGCTTTGCCTTGTTCCTCCTTTCAAGACACAGAGCCATTACTAAGAAACATACTTCCACTCTTTGTGTCTCAGTGCAGCCCAGGAACTGCCTCTGGAACTCCAGAGAAAGAACAAAGTTCATCACCATCACCTACAGGTTTTTACTGCTGATGAGTTCTGGTCGTCAGATTCTCCTTACCTCACAGGAAGGTTACCAGCAGAGGCAAACCTGACACTTCACATTTATTTTCCATTTGAACAGTTACCATAGAAATCTATGGTAATAGAGTAAAGTCCTTGGGTTCCTAGGAAGGCATCCATGTGGCTTTAGGTGTCAGGCATGCCTGCTTTAAAGCATTGTATGGCATTCTTACTGAAGGAAGCCAAGTTCAAAGCAGAGATCTTTAGTTGGCATAAATCAGCTTAACACCTCTGGTTTGATGGTGCTGTAGTAGTTGTCCAAGGGTCTGGACTACACTGACTGGGATTGTAGCATGGTACTCTGTGAGTCTTTGTCCCCATGCATGTGCCAAAACACAATAGCTTTTCTCAAGATCACAGTGGGACTGGTAGTTGCTAGCTGGAGTGTCCTGATGCTGCAAACACGTGCCTCATTACCTTTATGACCACAAAGGGCTACTCACAGCAAGAGTTAAGCAGGCATGTAAGTGTTCGCGTGATCAGGCCTTAGGCTGCTCTGTGACCCTTTCTAACCTGTTTTTACTTGCAAAGGATCTGCCTGGGTTGCATTGATTTATTCCTGTTGGTGTGTATGCTTTCCCTGTTTTCTCATTCCCAGCTCATCACCTGTTTCTCTGTCCCTATCTTTATACAGTTACACATCACCAACAAGACATCAGCAGGGGAGGTGGTGAAGCTGGTGGTGCTTGAGATGAATGACATCTCTAGGAACATGCTGGGCAACGCAGATGCCTTTTGCTATGGTGAAGAGCAGCTGGACCACTTTGGACTGGTGTTCGTGTCAGACGACGCTGAGCAGTGGCTACCTGATGACTTCTTGCCCATTTCACTCCAAAATGCCTGGCTTGGGGGGCGGTTCTACGTCCGAATCAAAGAGACATCCCCTCTTTTGTTCCAGTATGGGCCAGCAACCACAGTATGAGAGGAGGAGAGTGGACTGGGGGAAACTTGAGGAACCTCAACTTCCATTGAGCAAACAGCTCATTTCCAATGCTTCCTTCCTACCCAGACACCCTCCCATCAGACGTCCACAGTGTGGAATAGGATCGTACTGGGCTGTGTGTTATTTGTTTGTGTATTTTTTTTTAACCAAAGACACATCAAAACTCGTTTTTTATGACTGCAAGAGATGAGGGTGGAGCACAGGAGACTTCAGAGTCTTGGGAATTGGTAGCTGGAATGAAATTTTTGAAAGTAAATACTTGTGGGGGGGAGGAAGAGTGAGTGGGAAAAATCACACAGAAGAAGAAGCAGCAATACATAACTTTTTTTTTAATCTCCAAGTTTGAGAAAGCCACAGAGATTTCCAGGTGGTGTCAGTAGTGTCAGCGAGGAAAGGGGAGAGCTTGCAAAGACCTTGTAGAGAAGGTTGTTTTGTTAACTGTCCTTGTTTCACTGTACCTGGAGAAACACAATATTGCACATCGTTCTTGGAACAAAATGATTTTTTTTTTCTTTAAAAGAATAGTGCAAGAGACACTGGAGCTGTGAGAGTGCCGGACATACTTTTTACTTGTTTTAAAGGCAGAAGGAAACTACACACCACACAAACACCTACACGCACACACACAAATGTTGATGTTGCCACCACAGGTTTGCTACAGGG